TTCAACAGACCTACACCCCAACCTATATTTTCCCTTTTTTCTCTCAAAGACTTTCCTAGGTCTTAGAAAATATAGTTAAACTAATACAGTTGTGCTACTACTTTCTCAGTAAGTGTCAAATACAGATTTATAGCCAGTACATTTTAATAATACAAACTAATAATTTCCCAAACCTCTTTAACCTTACCTAAAGGAACCTAGAAGCTACCTTGTATCAAATTAAGTGGTTGACATAAACAACATCAGCTTATCACTCACGTGTTTTACTAGATCTAGTTGGCAAAACCCTGCATTATAAATACATAATAATGTGAATATTCTCTTGGTATGCATGTTTTCCTCAAATATCGCTGTTGCCAATGCATTAATACAGATACTAATGCTGGACAGTGTGAGGCTGAGAGTGCAAGTCAGATTCTAGTCTACCAAGTACACAAATGGACATGAAATATTGATTTGAGCTGAAATGATTTTATTATGTGAGAGTAAAGAGACCGCAGAGCATCCAGGATCAGTTGATTCTTTGAGTTGATTAGGTTCAGTACTCTTTGTACTTAACATTAAATTACACCGTTTATAGGTTGTAGATTTAATGTAATTTGAAGCAGCTAAAAATGTTGACGCCTACAAAAAAAATGTATTTCAACTTGAGCTTCGTTTTTTCTTAGAAATGCAAAATCATTTTATAAAAGCATTTACATTTTTTCTTCTGTTAAAACTTGCATGTCATTACTAGCTGTAAGGTTCTTCTCATCATTTTTACAGGAATTTTATGGCTTTATGTTATAATGACAGTGAGGTTGTAAAATTGTATATAACTTCACACAGAAGAGGTTAGTAAGCTATTTTTTCACACTAAAACTGTTAACATATGCATAATATTGTTTGTCTTGGGAATATACTTTTGAGTATTTTAGTGTTTATAGATCTGCCCCATTCACTTCCACTGTAACACAGATTTAGTTTTTTAAAGAAATGGGAGTATATTTATATGCCTACATATTATATATAATAAAATATATCTTAAGATAAACTACATTTTTTCCTATACCGTATTCATGTAGCATGGTAAACGAAGCAGGTAAAAGCCATGTTTTATCATGGTATATTTACCAAGACGAGATTCACAACGAGGAACAAGTAAATATGTTTTTTTTCCTATGCTCTGGATATCATATAATGTCGATGTATTGCCTAGAAGCCAGCGTTTTATAATATGCAAAGTGCATGCCAATGTTTAGTGCGCGCACGCTGTCTCGGTCCATCGTTCCAGTCCAGATTTCCCTTGTGCTCTGTCTGATTCTCTGGCAGGTCTTGTTTACTGGCGCAAAGACAGGAAAGGGGATCCTTGGAGTGAGAGGATATGTCAGTGCACTAGCTACAACTAAAAAAATTTAAAAAATCTTGCATTTTTATTCTCCTCTTTCTCTCCTCGAGTAAGTGAGCTTTGCGGACTCAGCTTCACTTCGTTGTATTGATCTGTGAAGCAAAGCGACATAGAAAGACTGCATGTGGAGCATTTGGGTTAGAAGTCTCGCGGAAATCTCAGCGGTCGCAGTGTTTTCAGAAAACGCCCCCAGAACCGATCCGATTTACTGATCCGAAACTGTCAGATTACAGGCTCGCCGTGAGGAGTAGTACGGAGAAACTACCGCGCTACGGCGAAAGCCCGCTGTCAGCAGGAACCTGGAACAAGTACAAACAGAAATCTGCCCGTTACGAACCCTGGACATCACGAACGTTTCACATGAGCACTATCTGCAACTTATAAGTCTGTAAACAGTTTATTATAACTATAAGATCTTTCCATCTGAAAAATAAAACGAAACGGCAACAAAAAAAGTATCGTTCAGACGCTCAATTGATTGCTTCGGCCTGCGTTGTGTGCGCAGCCATTCCTCCCCGTGCTTCGCCAGTTTTTCGTTTTTTTCCAGCTTGTAGCAATCTACGCAAGTGCTGGACAAATATATGCAATCGATCGGAAATGATGCAGTCCGCATGCTTTATACGTGTGGTTTGTTTTACAGTGAATGAAAGGCGCAGCACGCGCTGTCATTAGCTTAGCGCTCGAGCGTGTCTTCATATCAGCATCAGTCAGTGCGCGCGACAGCAGATCTGCAGCAGCGCGAGCGGATTGAACACGTTGAACTTTCCTCTCCGCCCATTTTTTTTCTGAGGGGGGTGACAGAGGGCTTTTTTCTTTTCTTTTTAATTTTTATCTTCCAAAACAGCACTGGACTATTAAAACAGATCGTTAGCAACACCAAGACGTATACGAAGGGGATTTTTGGACAGATTTTCGGTTTCCCCGGGGGCAAAATGCGGCTGTGGACTTTGATTGTTTTGGTTGCGTCTGCCTACACTGTTTGCAACTGTCAACAAACACATGGAGAAAGTAAGTGTAACTTAATGGCTTTGTTTTTTTATCTTTCACATAGATACGGATTTAATACTATAAGAGTCTTGTCTGTTTAAATGTAAATCTACAAACGTTACCGACCGCTCTTAAAGGGAAAAGGGGATCGTAGTTCTTGAGTACTGTGACACATTTGGTAAAGCAGAGCCAGACAGAAGGACATTGCAGGGCAAGGGGCGAATAAATCAAATATTGGGGCGTTTTGATTTAGATTAATCGTTTCAAACTGGCTTTAAAGGTACGATCGATTATATGGAGTGTGCGCCTTGACCCTAAAGCCAGATTATCGATCGTTTGAGGACGGCATTGATCTATTTGTAGCTCGAACCGCTAACGTTAGTAAGGCTCAGGAATGGTTTTCAAGTTCAGCCAGGCCCCTGTTTTATGAAGCCATTTGCAGCGTTGACAGAGTTTCAAGAGGAGTTTAAATCCTGATCAGATCGGTCGAGACCTTTAGGGCTGTGTTTTTATTTATTGTTCAAAGAAGTCATGAAACATGACTGGAGGTCTGCGATCCGATCTTTATGAGTTTGGAAACTGCGTTACTTTGGCAGCAAATTAGTACTAGAGCTCACAGATGTCCTTTTAAAATTTAGCTTTCAGCACAATAAAACTATTGTGGATGATATCACCGGGGCACAAATCTTATTAGCAATGTACTCAGAAACTTTCGGTAAACACTGGAGCAGTCAATGCGGAACATCTGATCAATAATTCTTTATTTATCAGTCACTTATTTTATGTCAACTCAAGGCGGTGCACTTTGAAGACTGGTTGTATGAATAGAAAATGTTGAATTTGAATGCTAAATATAGGATTACTGTAGTTTATCTGTATGCCTGATTATTACGATTTATTCAGAGTGTATTCTTAATGTATAGTGGCTTATTTAAATGCTTAATATACATGTATTACTTTCGTTGTAATGCTTTATATAAAACACCCAGCATAGGAAGAATTCGTAAACGCACGCCATATACGTGCTGGTAATTGGTTTTAATGAGGCAGTAGTCATTTAAATTGTTCAGTAATTATGTACCACTTGTTGTTTTTTAGTGCTCTTGGAAGACTTCCTGTAACAGCTAAATAAATATAAGCATGCTTTTGACACACTTGGCTGTGTTCAGCTCCAAACAAAACATTGGCTTGTCTTCAGTTCACCCAACAAATGAGTTTTAACATATTTTTTGGAAAGTAAAAAAATACAGTAGTATTTTTGGCATTAAGGTGTTTTTTGTTTGGGGGGGCATTCAAATGAAATGCTCCAAGTTGCGACGCTATCATAAGGAGAATTTCAGATAATTTCGAGTCTTATTTGTTGATTTGTGAGCTGTGTTAAACCCCAAGCACCTTTTTCTTATCTTGTTGCTTTGCAGATTTCTAAATATAGCGTTGGTTTGGATGAAATATATGCATTCAAAATTCTGCCAGTTTCCATTTTGGGACTCTCTTCCATGTGTCTTGACGGTTAAGCTACTGTATGTCAGAACAGTATGTTTAAAAGCTCTGCTAGGTTTTAGGTTAAGACCAGCATATGTTTGAAAAACTAATAACAAGCACTGCATGGAAAGTTACAAATGAACAGACTGTAGGCCCTCTCTGTCTGTAATAATCTGATGTGGTTTTAATCAGCCTTTTAATTCTTATTACACTGCTTCTTTCAGAAAATATACTTTTTGTATGGAATTTAATTCTTGTTTGTTATTTAAAATGATGCT